ATCATATTATATATTTGTATAATATATAATATGATCTCAAACTAAATAATTATGTTTTTTGGTATAAAATTGAATAAACTGAAAACCGATGGTATATAAACCAAATCAAACTGTAGTACATATAGATTTAGAATAGTAGTTATATTTTAATGATCGAAATACCAAAAAATCGGACAAAAAATTGAGCCGAACCGAAACCTGATATCCGGATTGAGCACCTTTAATCCGAATGAAACCGAACTATTGTTTCATTTTTCAAAACATAATAAAAATAATAGCTTCATCCCGCGCAAGGCGCGGATCTTATCCTAGTATACATAATACGGGGAAGAAACCTGTAACGGTCTGTAACTGACACGGTCAAAACAATGTATGGGTGCATGCGTTCGTAAAGATCATATATATAGTTTAGGGTTTCTTTTTATTTTCAAGGAAAAAGTTCATGTGATATTAATTAGACAAAAGGATAGAATACGTTGTATTGTAATTAGTAGGATACGACAGAATCTGAAGATACTTGGTTTGAATGGATCCAAATTGATGCTATGAATGCCTTCATCATTGATGCAAAGACTTGGTTTAAATGGATCCAAATTGATGCTATGAATGCCTTCATCATTGATGCAAAGACTTGGTTTGAATGGATCCAAATTGATGCTATGAATGCCTTCATCATTGATGCGAAGCCATTCCCTCTTTATCTTCAAAAATGGCCTAGATATTGGCATTACACAACACGTGAGACTTCGTAAATATCAGAAACATTGATCGCGCGGGATTGATAAACCAGTCCGTGATAGACTTGTACTTTTTATGTGACACGTGAAACGATACATATACATGTAAATGATGAGTTAGGTATGCTCAAACTGGAAAGCAGGACAATTTAGGGTCCGACTGGTTTCCCCGCTACCACCCGCAAACGCAGCTTTTGCGGTTGATGGCGGTTGCTAGCGTTTTGCAACAATCACAAAAACCACTACAAATCGCTTCAAACCGCTCCCAACCTCTTAAAATCAAAAGCTGGTTTCAGCTAGCGTTTGCGTTTGCGGGCGATTGCGGGTGGGTAAAAAACTATTTTTTAAAAATTTAAATTAAAATATAAAAATAAAAATAATATAACTAAAACTATATCTACCTTTTATTTTTT